CTTGTTCTGCAATGTGTCACAGTGTGAAGGCCACCATTTTGTTACAGGCAGGGCTTTGCTTCATGTCAGAGCCTCCAGCAAGGAGAACAGGAGGTTCTCCTTGCTGGAGGCTGTAACATGAGGAAGCAAATCCCTGCCTCTACCAAGATGGCCGCCTCCACACAGTGACACAGTGCAGAACAAGACATGGTAAGTTAGTAATGGGGAAAAGATCAGCAACACAAGTCCTGTCACTAACTCTCACTCCAAATCTCGTGAGACTAGCAGCCAGAGGCAGCAGTGCCTTAGACGTCACGCTGCAGATATACAGCTATGAGGCTACAGGTACAGCAGTGCCTAGACACACTCACACATCAGGAAGTGTATTACTATTTTTCAGGATAAACCGTCAACAATTCTGATTCCCTAGAACATAATGTAGCAAAGTTTTACTTTTTGAATGAATTTCCACTTTAAAAGCAAAACATGTACTTTGCCTGTTCAGTGCGAAGCAACATATTTGTTCTAACAACTTTAGCAGCATATACTTACTTCTTCTTTGCTCCTACCACTCTTTTAGCACTGAGAGCTGGGGACAATACCGAGTATGAAGGAGCATTTGACCTATACTGCACTGCACAGGAGAGTCCAGAGCCCTGTGTATATGGAGAGGAGAATAGTGCACTCCAAACTCCGCTCACATGGCACAGCAGCCATTCAGCAACCACCTAGTATTTTTATGAGTGAATACTAGGAGTTCTTTGATTGGAAGAGGGACAGTGCCGTGATGTCACCGCCCCTCGTCCGATCAGAGAACACTTAGTATTCATTGAGACAAATACTAGGTGGTTGGTTGCTGAATGGCCGCTGTGTTGAGTGAGCGTCCCACTGTGGTGGGGAAGTCACTCAGCACAGCAGCTGTTCCTGGACTTGGAAGATCACGGTAGGACACTGTTGTTGCTGCGACTAATAGTGTTTTACAGGATCCAGTGTCCCTGCCAGGGCTAATTAATATACTGTATACTTACATTGTACCAAGCTAGGCCAATGTAAGTATATATACATTTCTATAGCTTGAGTTCAGCTGTATAGTTATCAACAAATGAAGCTGGCAAATGCTTGCTGTACACACGATTATACCAACTGAGGCCCGTGTGTACAAGGCCTTAGAGATGAAGAAGTTACCTGAATTTCCAGTTAGGTTCTTCCCTTAATTTTCTAACCTGACCTGGAAATGTAAAAAAGGGAAATTGATAGCTATGTGCAACACCCTATTATACACAAGGCCCCAGGTAGTTAGATATATTGCACTATAGTGTGTACACATCGATAGCATACAGTATGACATGGAATGGGGGCTCACAGAGGGTTGAACTGCAGAATAAGAAAATTAAATTCATGTTTGGTCCCTTAATTTACTACCCGAAACAGCATCAAAAAAGGTTTTCCTATATAAAATGAACCAGACAAAATGCCATTTGGTTTTATAAGAGATGTACACTGCAGAAAAAACAATTTAAAGCTCATTCATAAAGTCAAATCTATTGCACACCAACGTAACATGATTGCAAAACAATGAAATGTGAAAGGAGAATATGTATATAAACCTATATTCATGTCTCAAGGGAGGCTGGGGGATGAAATGTTCCTCAGTACATCACTGGGGCTGATCATTCCATAAGAGGCAGCCCTTCCCACTTGGTACAGCAAACCTCAAAATATACGGAGCAGAAGCAGATTAGAGCTTCACTAAATATTAGCTGATTCATGAAATGTTTATAGGGGACTTAAAATAGGATCTTTTGTACTCCCCATAAAAACCTTTTCTGTGTTCATTGAAGGACACAGTTGACATCTTGAATATCTGACAGTAGGGTTATAGTGCCACCCGCTGTCAGAGATTGAAAATCTCCGCTCTGTCCTTCAACAAACGAAAGAGAAAATAGAATTTTTTGTACTCACTCTAAAATCCTTACATCTGCGTTCATTGAAGGACACAGCTGAGATCTTGCATCTCTGACAGTGGGTGGCGATATAACCCTACTGTCAGATATTCTAGATCTTAGTTGGGTCCTTCAATGAACAGAGAAAAAAGATTTTTCGGTAAGTTAAACAAATCCTATTTGCTCTTTCATTCATTGAAGGGCACAGCTGAGATTTTGAATCTCTGACAGTGGGTGGCGATATAACCCTACTGTCAGAGATTTCAGATCTCAGCTGTGTCCTTCAATGATTGAAAGAGAAGAGAAAGGTATATTTTTCTTACTCAAGCTTCAATTTGAATGTCAACTGCACCACCAACCTAAATTTAGCTTTTGGCGGACAGTTACCCATTCTAATAACTTGCCAATCTTTCTTTGTACCATACACACTCCAGTGCCCAGATCCTTAAGTAGTAGCTTTTTCCAGGCACCCAGCAAAGCATGAAGATTTGTCTCAGTACTCATAACAGCATAAATCTGCATTGCGGAGGATCTGATGATGGGGGACGGGCACCATCATTTGGCTTTGTAATGGATGAAGCATTTTGAATGTAATGCCAATTTTGATGGGCATATATCAGCACTGGAGCCTCAGTGATAAGAATCCAGCTTGTGATCCTAATAACCAGCAACCATGCATAAGAGCAGTATCTCTTTTAGGTGGAGTTGTCCTTTAAATAATGACTCTCTTTTCTCGTCCGCAGTGGTGAAAGCAAATCACACTAACATGATACATTTCCCCTAAAGTGATAATACAATTACCTATGTACTGTTGCCTGCGCTTGGAAGAGAAAAAAAAAAAGACATTTAAAAAGGTCCCTTTGACCTACAAATACATACAAACATTAGAAGCTGCCAATAATCATTCTGCAATCACCGGATGCAGAGAATTGTACTTTTCACAACAGTTTCTCATAAAACAATTAAGAAAAAACACTAAACACATACATAGAGTATAATCTAAGAAAAGGATTTGGGGAACATAAATTGCTGTTTAACTAATAGTCCATCCGTGAACATCATAAAACCAGAGCCTCACTATGGCCGTCACATCCACATTCAATGTGCACATCACAGGAAATCTGTTTTTAAATAGCAATGGGCTCTCGGAGGTGTGACATTTTGTGCCTCACCAGCAGACATTGAAAATACCCGCCTCTATTACAATGTACCCACAGCTATTCCTGCAATCCAGTATGGCTTGGCGTAACGGCAGCCATGATTGTCATACTTACAATAAAGATGGGAATTGGGGGGAGTGGAGCAGCTACTTTGAAGTTGGTGGAAGTGAAAAGGCAAATCCATAAATACATCAGGTTAAACGCACTCCAGCTCTGGGGGTAATGACACGTTAACCATCCACAGGTATTGCATATTTAGAAAGTACTCAGACTGTATCACTATACGTCAAATGCAAATGGCATGGAACAGTTTTAAAGGTGATAGTCTTATAGTGGCCAATCAGATGTTCTTTACATATCAAAACCTGCATAGAAAAAATGATAGGCAGAATCTGATTGGTTGCTATGGACAACACTTCCCTTACCTTTAAACTTTATAGAAAACCCCTAGCAGATGGAGCATGTAAAACATTAGCTAAGTTTACCCCCAAAGTACGTTTTTAAGCTTATTTCATCCTAAAAAGCCTAAATTATAATTAATCTCATTTGTAAAAAAATGCCTTAAAAACAAGAACAGCCAACAGGTTCACATTTGAGTTTTGTGACTGCGGTCAACGCAGGCAGTTCGCACCCCATGTGGATTTATATACGGCTGTATATTATATGTGGATGTGTATCATTTTTTTCCTTCTGCGATGTTACTGTGTTGTTCTGGACCAAGTTTCTTTGTATACAACAGCAGCTTTAATCATAATCAAATTCATTTAAAAAAATCTTGTGCTGCTGGAAGATAAGTCATCAGTGCAGGAAACAGAAAGCTGGAAGGACTTTTATCTCTTCTGCTTAAGAGAGAACAATGGACAAACCTTTTTTGGCTGTAGTTCTCTTTCGGATCACAGGAGGACATTTACTGATGTCCTCCTGTAAACCAAAACTCAGCATATAGCGGGCTATTGCCTGCTATATGCTGACAGCACAGAGTCGCGCTGCAGCCAGGAAAGATCCTGACAATATTGTTGGGATCAACCCCCCTGCCTGACTGACAGCTGGCTCAGCCTCTCTCGAGCCAGCTGTGCCCACCCCCTCCCCTGTGTGTCCCTCCAGTCAGTGCTGGAGGATTGGAGAGGGGAGGGGGGAATCCCCGTGGGGAGTGATGACTGATAGTCACCGCTCTCTGCAGGGAGAACATCAGTAACTCGGCAATCAGTGGTATGTGATCATTCAGTTCTCAAGCAATAGAGCCGACGTGTGACAGCTGCAGTGTCACACATCAGCTCTAACGCTGGGGATGAATGCATTTCACTCATCCCATAGTTCTCCTTTAAACTCTGCAGTTGTATAATAACATGCAAAGTTTTTAGGTACTTTTACAGCTGAGGTCAATTATTATGCAAGTCACAATCGTAAAATCAGGTTCAGAAAAACATATGATTGTAGCCTGCAGCATTTTTACCTTCACACATCCAAGGTAATCTTGGTGTGATTACAGTTTTCACCAAGTCAAACTATTTCCAGCTCTGGACAAGTAAAGTCTATTCAGTAGAAGTGACTTTTCAGTCTAGTGTTACATTCAGGAGCAGAAAACACACAACCGCTTTCAACCGTTACAAAATACGTGGTCATTATATGTCTCTGTAAAGAGACAGCAGACTGTCACTGTACAAGAGATTCTGTACAGAACCAATGCCAAGTAGGGCTAAATGTTGACAACCAATATACAAAAATAAAAAAGCAAAAAAAGAAAATAAAAAAGCTAAAAGTAGCTGAGAAGGCAAATCATTTTGCAGCAGATAAAAATAAAAAGAACAGTCTTTGAAAAACAGCCGTGCAGTTCATGAGTGGAGTTCATGGAATAGGTGAACTCCATAATAATGAGACAGTTCAATAAATAGAAGATCCAATAAATACAGTGTGCTAATTGAAGGCCTGACTGTCGCACCCATCGCTGTGGTGGGCCTTGTGATGGCCCTTGTAGGGCATTTCCAGACACAACTAGAGCTGTGTCGAGGACTGTATACTTGGGGCTGGTTCTACGGGACTGTCCACAGGAACCTGGTGGAGAGAAGAAGAAAAGTCAACAAACAATGCAATTCTATCCAGCAAAGCTAGGGGGGGAAAAAGGTTATTGGAACACGAGCCCAAACACAGATCCCTTTCTTCAGGATGTCACTGAAGACAGCGGATAATGAACTCACTGCTGTTGTGTGCCAATACTCTTAGGCCCCATTCACACGAGAAACGTCAGGCACGTACAGCTCTGTGCGCGGCCGTATCGGGCAGTTCCTGGGAAGGACAGGTGCTACTGTGTGATTAGTATGCAGCCCTGTCCTTTTCTATGGGAATACGCGGCCGTACGCCGCCCTACGCTCACCTCAAGTGCAGGTCCGTACGGTTGCGGGTGTCCCGGCTCGGACGCAGACAGGATCCATCCTGTCAACGTACGAGTACAGACACACGCACGGACGTGCAGGGCGCCGTATAGCTGCGCATTCCCATAGAGAAGGACAGGGGCTGCATACTAATCACGCGCATCACCTGTCCTTCCCGGGAGCTGCTCGATACGGCCGTGCCCGCAGCACTTAGCTGTACGTGCCGGCCTTTTCTAGTGTGAATGAGACCTACGAAGGGATAGCAACAGGAAAGGCATGAGAACGTTTCAAAGAAAATGGTGATCGTTCTGCCTCATCAAGTCACTGGGAGGTGAAGCTAATGGTATGCCTTTTAAATCCCAAAGATGATGCTTTGCAGAACCAACAAGCTTTCATTTGTAGCAAGCCATACCAAGACCACGATCATAAACATAGAGGGGTGGGACCCGTGCCCCTCAAGAAAAGGATTAGATGTCAAGTACAAAAATAATCTTTTCTTTCTCGTCATTGAGGAACACAGAAGTCCATGGGATGTCCAATGCAGTCCAAGTGAGGGGTGGGTGACAGCAAACAGCCCCAACATGAACAAGAGTTTGGGAGGGCCTTCAGATCAAGAGATTCCTGAGCAACCAATGGTCAAAACTGGCAACTGAGGACTCCAAACGCCCACCTGGTAAGGGGACAAAACTAACCAAAAAACAATAGAAACAAATCAAATTCCAGATTACTGGTAACCTCACTGGTGAGAGATACAACCCAACTGGACCATAGGTTATGCACCTTGTATATTATGTTATGTTATGACCATGTTATAAAACAAAGGGACACTTACTGCCTTGACTTCGGACTTGGTGATTCCAGCATTTATATTGTGTCTTCTAAGGTCGGACTTGATCAGAGCTGTAACAGGAGCACAGAAAATAGAATTGCAGAGCTAGAATGAAATACGAATGGCCTCATAACAATGTGCAGAGATATGATCTGCCCTGTGACCCATAACATATCAGCTGTGCACTAGCTGCACATTCCTCTTTCAGAATATATTATCTACAATGAATTTCAAACCTTTGGACTGAAGCGGATTATCTACAAAAGAAAAAAGGTGCGTGTATAAAAAATAAGCAAAAGGATCTAACGTGACGTGTTCCTGACATATATCAAGTGTTTGGCTAAATTATACCTTCTGCTTATAACACAGAAAGATTAGTAGAATAAAATAGAATTCCAACACCTTTTTCCAGTTTTGGATAGCACAGAGAAGCATTGAAACCTCTGCTGGTTTTCCATTGCCACAAAGCAGTGTGACCTCCACATAGATCTGCTGCAAATACTGCACAGATCTTTTAAATATACAGGGGGGATTTATCAAAACTAGACCAAACAGAATCTGGAGCAGTTGCCCATGGCAGCCAATCAGCATCTCTTTAGTTTGCCCAGCTAAGATTTGAAAATAAGAGAGAAGCCGATTGGCTGCAGTGCAAATCTACTCCAGTTTTGATAAATTCCCCCACAGTGTCTGGATATTTCTGCTTTGGATTTATATGGTGGCACCGTGGGCCACGCACCCTACTACACTGATTTTGGGTGATAGTGCAGGACAGGATGTTGAATGTAGGGATTTATTGTGGTCTGGCTCCCACTGGGAAGATTTCCCCTCACTTCCTGTCCTACAGACACAACAGGAAATGGAACTCAATGTTTCCAAAATAAGTGGAAATGCCACATTTGACAGCTGCCACTTCAACAGGTATCCTTGTTGGCAGATTTCCCCTCTACTCCTTTTTCGGTGATGACTATAACATTTTAGATGACATAATTTTCTGTATTGATGATAATGATCGTGTGGGGTTTTTTTGTTCTGTTTTAACCCCTTTAAAGGGTCGCTTTGAGAGCCCATTCACACCAGGGCGGTTGTAGATCAGTGCGGTTACCGCGCTGATCTCCAAAGGGAGGTTTTAATTGCGTTCAGCGCTTAAACACAATTAAAAGCACCCAAAACCGCGCTGATCAGTGCGGCAAAAATTTTCTTTAGTTCGGATTACGCGGTTGCATGAACGGTCCCATAGCAATGTATGAGATTGTTCATGTCGGCAGATCCGTACGGCCGAACCGCCCCGGTGTGAACGGGGTCTAAAGGAATATTTTGATGTCACAAAGGATTCAGGCGATTCTGAAGGCAAAAGAGATCTTAGACTTACCAGAGAGGAGTGTACCTAATAAAGAGGCCAGTGAGTCTACTGTATAAGAGATGTTTTTTTCTAAAGATGCCAACCAATCACAGTAATCCTTTGTTGGGTACCGATGTGATTAGTATTGTGACCAAGTCTCAGTCCTTGCAATAGACATGATCAATGACCAGAGCCATTGTGTGAAGCTTAAATACCTTTATTATAATACATGATATTGTCTCTGCCTTACTCAGCAGCTGATCATTCCACAACAAAACACACGCAAGGAAAACACTTATTACACTTTAATGTGTAGTAAATATGTGCCAGGAAATGCTGATCCTGATACGTACAGTTCAAGTTACTTATTCACCAGCATTAAGAGCAAAATGCAAACTGTTCACATACCATACAGACATTGCAATAACAAGGGAACACACTCTAGCAATTAACTTACCAGATCATAAACTAAGCTTGCCACCAGACTGTATTGCTGAATACGTACATCAGGACTGGTCTATTCCCAGCAGTATGGATGAAGGAATCTCCCGCCAGCTGTCAAAATTCCTGAACAGTGCCTGCATCTGATTGGATGCAGACACTGCTGGACCAACAATTGTCTACCCAATTCATCCCATTTTTCAGTCAAAGGATGTTGGGCAGGAGACTGCACACAGGGACACCTACTGAGCGAATTTCAGACAGTCCAAGATGAACCGGGAGAAATTTGATCAGTGTATAGCCAGCTTCAGGCATACAGGGTTCATTTCTGAGATTCCCCTCAGCGAAAATCCTATAGAACAGCTGAGGGTTGTAGTCTTATAAAAGTTTAAAGAAGCTGGAGTTTCAGGAAGTTTGTATTATAAGGCAATTGTGTGCAAGAGCATTCATAATTTTGTGATAATGTAAAATATCATTATGGTTATTATTAGGGATGCAATGATACTAGTATCGGTATTGGTGCCGATACCGAGTATTTGGGCGAGTACTTGTACTATCAGGAAGCCGGGCAGCAAGTCATTACATGCTGCTCGGCTTCCTGATTGGGAATCACGGAGCATGGAGCTCGTCACCGGGGAGCAAGGAGCTGGCTTCCTGGCCAATCAAGAAGCCGGAGGGCGGTTAATGACTACCCCCCCAAGCTTCCTGATTGGCCGGGAAGCATGTAATGCCTCCTGCTTCTTGATTGCTTGGGAAGCTGGCCAATCAGAAAGCCAGGCGGGGAGTCAATACCCGCCCCCCAGCTTCCTGATTAGCCAGAAAGCCGGGCTTCATGCTCCCTCGTCACCAGGGAGCACGGAGCCAGCTTTCAAGCCAATCAGGAAGCTGGGCAGCACGTAATAACTGGCCGCCAGGCTTCCTGGTCGGGAAGTTGGGCAATTAGGAAGCCAGACAGCGAGTCATTGGCCAGAAATCCGGCTCCATGCTTCTTTGTCACCTGGTGACAAGGGAGCATGGAGTCGGCTTCCCTGGTAATTGGGAAGCCGAGTGGCAAGGCATTACACACCGCCTGGCTTCCTTATTTCCGGTATCGGTATTGGCGAGTACAGAAAAAAAATATTGGTACTAGTACATGATACCGAAAAACCGATATTGGTGCATCCTTAGATATTATTATTATTGTTACTACAACTTTTATCCACAGCTCTGGTCACTATGCTGACCGCTCTCCTCTTATCTGTCCTTCATATAGGTGTACTTTATGTGAAGATCAATGGCATGTACTGCCACAGCCGACACTAAGCTGCTACAGAGAAAGTTAGCTGTGGGCCCCATGTAAATGTTGCTCTGGGGCCCAATGATGCGTAGTTGCACCCATGATCGTGCTTTAGTGTTTACACAAAACGTGTTTGCCGAGCCGCGGTCAGAACTGTACAAACTTGTTTTTTTCCTAAACCAGGTGACGGCATCGGAGAGGTAGAAATTCAATGTTGCTGAGATTGTGAAAAGAAATGATCAAGGTGGGAGGCACAGGAGAAAAAAAATGCTGTGATGAGCCGCAGTTACAGGGGAACGGCACTGAAACTCAACACCAAGCCGAGCCCGACATCGATAATGACCTGCATTGTTTTATTATCTGAGCAGAGAACTGGCTGGGACTCATTCTTTTCATATCAAAGTCACATAAGGCTCATATGATATCATATTCGCATAAGGGTCTGGGCCTTTAAGATGCTTCTAGTACAGGGGTAGACAAACCCTTGCCCTCTTGCTGTGGTGAAACTATAAATCCCATCTGCCTCTGGTAGTTATGCCTGTGGCTGTCAGAGTTTTGCAATGGGAATTGTAGTTGCACCACAACTGGAGGGCTGCAGTTGGCCTACCCCTGCTCTAGTCTATAGACCAGTCCCTGTAGGGGCCAAAACATGAAAGGAATGGGTGGATTGTGTCTGTTCCGCTTGCACTATAAAGTTTTGTATGCGGAGGAAGAAGTGGCACGCAGATCTCAGTTTTTGTGGATTTAATTTAAATAAAGAGTCTTCGTGGTCCGTTCATTGTGGATGAGTGGACTTTAACAAGGCAATCCTGAACCAAAACACCGCTTCCGAGGTGGAGGCAAGCCAAATTTCCCTGCCGTCAGTAGTTACTGAAATGTATGTGAATGCATTCCATGTACTCTGCATAGCATGTCAACAATATAAATAAGAAAAACAGTTCTATATCTATATGATGATAATATGCCATTTATTGAAAGCACATTGGATACTGACATCTACCTATCACCACCAGACATTACAACATGTCTGGATGCTATGGGAAACACACCTCTTTCCCAACAGAATGTATAGAGAGGAGGCATTGAATCCATTCCAATCACACCAGGGAGACTCTGAATGTTGTAACAGAGAAATATGGAGGCTGCCATCACTGACCTGCCATCTGCTAGATGCCTAGTTATTATGCCGACCATCTTCAATACTGAGCTGGAAGGAAAATGCCAATAGTCCTCAACTGCAATCTTGTTCTTGAACCAAGAGTGTCAACATGGCAGCCAGGCAACTAGCATTTGCAGAATAAGAAAACAACTATGGCAGCCTTTAGCCTGATTTCAATACTCGGAGCCTGAAGTCTCCTTCACGAAGCCTGACTTCAATACTCGGAGTCCCTGAACTCTAATATACCGTATTTTGCACTCCATAAGGCACACCGGACCATAGGACGCAGGCAGTTTCTGTGACAGAAACTGTTACAGAAGCTGCAGTTAGTGACCGTGGACGTGCATCTAAACAAACTTCCCCCTGTGAACAAAAAAAGTGAACCGTGAAATCACAGCACACAAAAACGTGCACAAGGGTGCAAGGTCCTTCAAAAGAAGGGACCTAATTTCCCGACCCCCCGCAGCGCAAGGCTCCTGACAGGGGTTGAGACTGTTGGTCCACCAACCCGAAGGCCGGTGGACCCCGATCCTTTGGGGACCTGCCGAAACAGGTCCCTCACAGTACTAGGCAGCACCCTCATGGGTGGGAGGAGACAGAGAACCCTATATAAGGGCACAGAATCTCCTCCCAGCATCAGGAATAGGCCCCGATGAAACCTGCACCTTCAGCATCTGTGGGTCTCTGTGGGAGAGACTGTCAAAGATGCGGCAGAAGTTTGGACTCTGGAGCCTCAGAGAACTCACCATCGAAGGGAAGTCACTGGTACTCCGCAGCGAGATTCTCCCTGTGTTGCAGTCCCTCGCCCAGGCCTGGCCCCCCCCGGGTCAACACCTGCAAGGCCATCACCAGGGCGGTGTTTCACTTCATCTGGGGCTCCAAGATGGACAGAGTGAAGCGGGCGGTTATGTTCAAAGAGCCCCTCAAAGGTGGAAAGGGCGTCCCGGACATTGCCACCATGCTGAGGGTTTTCTTTGCTTGTAACTGCATCCGCAGGACCTTGATTGAAAAGACTTTGGACTCTGCCGGGAACTCCATGTCCCATTTTTTCCTCCTGCCTCTTTGGAGGACCCTGGGACGGGACAAATGCCTGAGGACGGGACCGCATGGTCTCGAAACATCGCTAAGGAGATGTGTGTTATCTCAGTCAATAAACAGCATTGACTTTAATATCATGGAGTGCGAGTGACTACTTTCATCTATCAGTAATAAGGAAATATCCATTACTACGCTTCGTGCCGGCAGCGCGGATTTCCTAACTGCTATTCAGTGATCTTGTCATAATGATGACCAGGATGAAGATTCTCTGCTGCAGGGATCAGATGGTGAATAGATGTCTGTGTGGAGAATTCCTGCTGGGAAATCACACCGTGTAAATCTAAAAAAGAGCGGTCTGAATTACAGCTAGGAGTAAAACCGCACAAAGCTGCTTTGTGAAAGGTGACCGTGGACTCTGTCATTACCCTCTAATTATGTCTGTGTCTAAAAAGGTCTCAAAAGTTCTTGCAATAAATATAGATCCGTTAAAGCTGAAGTTTAATCTGCTTATATTTTGCCTTCCCTGTTGTCTCCTTTCCAATCCTCAACATTCTAGTGACATTTTTTTCATGACATACCTTATTTACACCAAGTGATGAAATCACTGGGTCTCTGTGCAATGCAGGCCATGTACAGCAAGCTGTCAGCCTTCCCACCAGCCATGGTTGCCAGGGTGCTGTACATTGCTTTCTGAAAATATCACAGCACCCTCCCTCAGTACTCCTCTCATGAGCCCTCAGCCCTGATTGTTGGCTCATGGGAGAAGTTATGTAAATATCAAAATGCCTTGATGAGTGATCGTCCTTTTGGAGAAGTGGGCATTCTTAAGCTGGCCCTACACCTATAGATATTCTGCAGACTTTCTATGGTCAGATGGTGAAAGTGCAAAAGATTCCCCCATCTACGCTAAACTGTGTGGATGGGCCAAGCTTCAGTATCTTGTTGGCAGCTGACTGTCAAAATACCTGAACAATGCCTGTATCCAATCAGATTGTTCCGGTATTTTGACAGACAGCGGGACCGACTAGCAAGATACTGAAGCTTGGCGCAGTGGGAGATTCCTCCACCCACAGTTTAGCGCAGATGGAGGAATCTGTTGCACTTTTTCCATCTGACCCTAGAAAATCTGCAGATAATCTCTAGGTGTATGACCAGCATAAGGCAGACCACACTTGTATGCATACTGTCTTAGATAATGCCCACATGTGATGCCGAGACTCCATGACTGAAAGCTCTCAGTAGCCTGGAGGAGAGGGCATTCCTAGGCAGACTACTCTTGTATTGCACTGCACACATGTGATCCTCCATGGCTGAAAGAACTGAAATCCAATGACTTAAAAAGGGGCAGGTCTGAGACAGTCAGGCTGCGGAGTTAAATGATGCTGGATGTCCTCCATCCAGCAAATAAGGCTTTATGTGACTTGCTGCAGCTAATAATGCATGCTGTGAGAAGCTCACAATATACAGCAAAATAAGAGCAAGACATTTTAGTACAAGTGAATGCAAGGCTGGAGTTCAGCTTTAATCTTGAATAGTGATTGTGTGTTGATTCTGTGTATAGAAACAATGGCCAAGCTACCCGTCCTTAGTAACAGTTCTGTAAACTGGCAACATGAATAAAATGGAAGCACCCTTTGGTTCTTGTAGACACCCATTTCTATCTTTCTGACTTTACATCATTTAACAAGGAATGGGTTTTCTTCACACATGCAATAGACTAGAGCTCACCTGTCAATATGATTCCCACAAACATCCAGGCACAGAGGAAAATATTCCCAGCTTTGGGGTTGTAGTCTGTTGTCAGCTTTCCCTGAGCCAAGGTGAATAAGATTCCAAATATCTGGAAAAGAAGTGACAATATCACGCTGTGATCCACTAAATATTGTACAGAAGTGCTCAGCACAGGTCACATCTAAACTCACAACTTATCATACTGTAAAAAAAGAAAAACACTTTAAAGAAAGGGTTCTGTATCATTTATACTTCCATAGAAAAACCTTCTCCGTCTTCTATGCAAGTATAAAATGACCATCGGTAAGAAACTGAATCTGCTCTAAGTCTATGTCAGGGCCAAAAATAAAAAAACAAAAGCAGTATATATATATATTTATTCATTAGGGATGCACCGATACTAGTAACGGTATCGGTGCCGAGTACTCATACTCACCCAAATGCTCCGAGGCCTAGCCCGATACTTCCTGTATCAGGAAGCCGGGCAGTGTGTCATTACATGCTGCCCGGCTTCCTGATTGGCCGGGAAGCCGGCTCCATGCTCCTTCATCACTTGTGACAAAAGAGCATGGAGCTGGCTTCCCGGCCAATTAGAAAGCCGGGCAGCGTGTAATCACTCGCTGCCCTGCTTCCTGATTAGTCCGGAAGCTGGCCAATCAGGAAGCCGGGCACCGTATAATGACACGGCGTCCGGCTTTCTGATTGGCCGGGAGGCCAGCTTCATGCTCCCCCGTCACCTCATGACACGAATGTCAGGATCACTATAGGACTGCTTATCTGTCTCTATGGGATCGCTCCTGGAACAGCAAGGTGTCGTTCCCTCGCTAGTAAGGAAGATTTTGCAGCATTTGGGGCCAGTGAGGGAACGATTCCACAGAGGCAAGTGGAAGGTTACCCCGTGACAGCAACCTTGGGTCTCCAGAACTGTGCCAATAACAGTATGAGAACAGAGGAATGAAGAATAACTTTCTTTTATCACACAGATCCCCTAGTACAGGGGTCAGCAACCTGTGGCTCCCGAGCCGCATGTGGCTCTTTCATCCCTCTGTTGCGGCTCCCTTCCCAGGGGTGGAACTACTCCTGGGGCCTCGGGCCTGAGGCTGTGGGGGGGCCCAGTGAGGTCCGGTCCTGGGCATCCCCCCCCAGCCCAGTGTCCAGTGAGTTACTAAGTCCAGTGAGTTACTAAGCCCACATATACCTTTATACATGCTAAAAGCTACCTTTATACATGCTAAAGGTAAAAAACGATGTATGCAGTGTTATCTTCATTTTAGATGTCAAAAGGGTTTTGTGGCTCCCGGTGTTTTCTTTTCTGAGGGAAACGGGTCCAAATGGCTCTGAGTGCTTAAGGTTGCTGACCCCTGCCCTTGTAGCACGCACGCCAGCTTCCCGCATCTACTAGGGCATGCCATGCATGGGGCATTGTGCCGATAGTTATAAAGAAATGAGTGGCAATTCACCTTTATATATGATTCTTACTAGGCCAGAGGCTGCTATTTTACTATCTGCGAAAACCATATTTACCTGGGCAGAGGCGTTCAGAAGGCCAGAGGAGGTGCCCTCAGACTCTGGATAGGTGATTTCAACAGCAAACTCGAATCCCAGAGGAAGATATCCGGTCATAAAGAATCTGAGGGGGGAAAGAAAAGACGGGTTATCCTCCTCCATAGGTTGTAGCTCCAGCAAGTGGAAACTGCTCAATAATAAAGCTGAAGTTTATTCTGCGTACATGTTGCCTTCCCTGGTTTCTCTCATGTCCCCTCATCAACATGCTCATTTCATTATTGTAACCGTTCCATTTTCATTTCAAACCTTGTTTTGGACTCATTGATGTAATCGGTGGGTCCCTGTACTTCCCTATGGAATGCAGGCAGATCATGGCTGGTGGGATGGTGGTAGGTCTCCTCTCAAGAGCCCTCAGCCCTAAAGCAAGCAGTGGGCTGGTTTGTGAGAGGAGATATGTAAATATCAATATGTCTTGATGGGAGGATATCAGTCCGGAGTAGTGGATGTTCCTACATTACATGTGCATGCAAACTCGTATAGTTAACGTCCACATGTGGTGCTGAGCCTCCATGATTAAAAACACTTTAATCCAATCAATGAAAGGGGGGGCCAGGGATAGTCAGGCTGCCGAGGAAAGTAGTAGGTGATGCTGGACGTCCTCCAGCCAGGAAATGAGGCGGGCTGTGTCTGACTTGCATGTTATGAGAAGCTCACAGTGTGAAGTGAAATCAGAGTAAAGGATTTCAGTATAGGAGAGAAGCCGGTACAACTGTACAAGACTTAAGAGAAAGCTGGAGTTTAAATCATGAAATTGTCACATTCTGGCAATATATTAAAGCAAATCCGGGCAAATCAAATTTGAACCCTTGCAGTGACGCTACCGACCCCCCCTCCCCGCAAGGGTTAAGTGCTCGTTTGTCCTAGGGAGTTCAAATAATAAAGTTATACTCACCCTGAACAGTAGGGCTGCAACAACCAAATCAATAAAATAGATAATGAGAATCACTGTCAAAGATACTCATCATCGATTAGTTGATTACAATTAGTTGATTCAGGCCAGCAGCCCTCCCCGTCCTGCCGCAGCTGCCCCTCTGCTCAGCCGTTCTCCCCCTCCTTGAAACTTTGCTCAGCCACCGCTGCCACCACTCTCCTCCCACTGCTCTCCCCCACTGTATCGGCAGAGGCAGCGGGTATCCACACAGGTTGGCCGTCAGGTGCTGGGGCCCGAGAGGGGGGGGGGGGCGCGGGGCGGGGGGGGC